AGGAGCAGGAGCAGGAGTAGCAGTAGCAGCATGAGGACACGGCTGTCACACAGTCCGTTTATGCGGTCGGGTTTGCAAAGTGTTTGTCGCTGCTTGACGCACGGTCGAATGCCTGTGATTTAAAGATCCCCTTTTCGGCAGAAACATTGATGGCAAGAAATTCAACAATTAAGCTTTTGAATGCATGGTCGAATCCCAGATACATCCTGTATAGGGAGGTACTCGAACTACTGCAAGCCTGCAACGTGTCGGAGGTACAAACGCCAGCGTGGAAGGGTTCGGCACACGCGGGGCCTCAGGAGGGCATTGCAGTGCCATATTCCGATCAACACACCATGGATGTGACACGGTATACCTGCTACGTAAGTATACAGAAGAATGCAGTTGCATCAAGTTACCAGCGCATGCTACATTCTCATTGCGCATCATGCTCGGGCGCTTGCCATACTCATGTCCACCTTTTCAGACTCCAGGGTCTTGTGCAACTCCTGGCAGGACATGCAATGTTTCCATGGCTGCTGCAATGGATCCTGCCTCCCCGAACATGTCAGTAGACAGGGCACCGAGGTAGCTGACATCGGCACCAAGCCTGTCACTGGCGAATTGTGAACAACGCTACGACCAGAACTAAAACATCGCTAAGCGGGTACCCCAGTGATTAAACTTGCCGTACATTCGCTTTCCGGGAATTACCAATAAAACAGTCGCACCAAGCGACTCGGCAATCGCTCGATGCATGAAGTCAGTTCCCCGGCACTGTCAGGCTGTTATGAACACCGACGACGTCGAGCAATCAGCAGAGCCTTTTCGCTGCAAGGCACACGTTGAAAGGTGCGCCTGCAACCGGCAGCTTGCCCCAGCTACATGTGTGTGCTTGTGCTACTTGTGGCGTCATTCGGGAATCTGCAAGTGCCATTCATGGTTTCTCATGGCTCCTAGGTCATCGTGTGGGCATAAGCAACCTATGACTTTGCATAATGCGTGCGCGTGCAGCTCGTGTTCATGTGAACACCGACTTTTCCACACAGACCTGCCAACTGCTTGAAATCTAACGGACGCGAATTCTTTGGCACACGCATTCGGACCTGGAGCAACAGAAGCTCGGGAAAAGCTACACTCCAACTCTTCAAGGCTTGCTTAGGCACTAGTAGCGAGAGCTAATTCTAGAACAATCTAGAATCTTCAAGGTCCGTGCAAAGTGAAAGCTCGGACGAGAGATCTGAGATTCTGCGTCCGCAAATGTCCGCTGCCGCAGCTCAGGAGCTTTCATGGAGCCACGTGGAAGCTCGGACTGCAAGGATGCAAAACACAAGCCTACCACTGCCTAGCCCCCTTGCAACTCTCATAAGTCAAACTCTTACTACATAGAACCGCACAAGAATACGTGCAAGTCTTGGTGTCTCACCCCGGCCTGGCGCTGGCAGCTCATCTGGCAAGCTATGCGCCAGCGAACAACGTCCTGACAGAGTTCTTGTAACTGCTACAACATGCGCAAAAGGAACTGTGGCGACAGGCAGCGGGGGCGAAGGCGGCGAAGGCGTTGCTGCGGAAGGTGTGGCTGCTGGTGCAGGCACCGTCTCGCTGAAGCCAAACATCTTGCGAATCTCTGGAATCTTGGAGTTCTTGGCCTGGTAAGCACTGGATCATTTGCAGCAGCCAAAGCTCACCTCCTGCAAACTGCAACAATAAAAATTAAGACTAGACAAAAGGCAGCTTTTGATGCCGCAGCGGATTGTGCACCAGCCGTGAGCAAGGCTTGCGCAATGGCAGTCTGCTCTTGCCACACCTCAAGGTGATCAGTGGATTCTGGAAACCTCACAATGCCCATCCATCGTCATGTCCAGCTACCACTCCGTTGGGGACCCGGCCGCTCGGGTCAACATGTCAACGCCATCTCCATCCGAAGAACTGTCAGGAGGCATTGCAACGCAGCAATCTCACGACTGGGCGGGACGCTGTAAACCCGAAGCCCACATATACTAGTAACTAGTAAGTGGTAGAGACTCGGAAGCACAGGCATGCAGCCCTGCCCGAGGTTCTTGGCTGTCTTGAGCATTTCTGTGACAACATTGCCGTGGTTGTAGCGTACCTGAAGCTTTGGCGTGTCAGAACTTTGAGCTGGGACCGGCTGGGATTTCCACCGCCTCAAAGGCTTAACACGACCTCAAGTTCATGTAGAGCAGCGGATCGATCCGTAAACTGAAAAACCGGAGACCTTGGCGATCCTCTTGTTTCTGCCGCGCGGCAGCATGGAAAAGCGGTGTGCGGCCGCGGTTGTCTTCCACGTCCGGACTCGCTTTCTTGGTCAAGAGATACAGGGCCGTGTCAGTCCGACCATGCACCGCCTTGGGAGTGATCGCCACGCATGCGGCTGGTAGGTACTATTACTCCTTGTTGCAGCACCGCACGAAAAAAGTTTACCTGGAAGCGATCGAACAAGAATGGTAATTAATTGTTTACTTGCGTGAAAGCTGAGCTCATCGCAGCCTCAGCGAGAGCGGACCACCTTGGCCCACTTTGCGATGCCTTGGCTAGTTTTTGTGGGAGTCGGAGCCTGAAGCTTCGGTCGATGAAGCGGCTATACACTCCCGTCTGCACCTTTTTCTTGCCGTGGCACATCATCAATATTGGCACCTGCAATCAGGAACAAGCATGGTCCCTCGTCAGTGGCTTCAATGATGCAATGATGCATTCCAAACGTCATTGATCCTGTCTGGAACCGGATGTGCCAGCACCTTGAATTGCAATCCTCGGCCGCGCCTTGACGAAGCAAATCTTCGATTTTGGTCGCATCGAATTTCCGGCAAGCATCCAAGAAGTCTCGATTGAGTGTATCCTTCTGCTGCTGCGCATCCTCCTCCAATCGGCGGGCCGCCGCCACAGCTGGGTTGACCGGGGGAGTGACAGGGGGAGCGGGGGGTGCAGGTGGAGGGGTTGCTTTGGGAGCAGCCTTCGCAGGAGGAGCGGGAGCTTTGGAAGGGGCAGCTGGAGCCTTGGGAGGAGGCGCCTCTACTGCCTCCTCTGTTTTCTCCACCGCGTCGTTGGTGGCGGGCTCCTCGCTGACCGGGAGATCTCCCGCCTCTTGTGAAGTGGCCGCGGGGAGGACGGCCAACAACACCACAATCCTTGTAACCTGCTTGAACATGGCGGCGACTAATGCCTACAGCTTGTGGCTGCAATTTGAGCCTTTGCGCAGGAAGCTCACGTCAGCCACTTGCCAGCCAGCATCCGGGAACACCTCAACCTGCGTCTAGTAACGAGTCTGGTAGCTTTAGGCCTCGTTTGAACATCCAATCAATAGCTGCAAAAAGCTTCTGCAGTGCAGTCATGTCATGCATGATTTGGCATCATCACATCCGAATGCTGCCTCCAGGCCGGGGCAGAAAGGCCTCGTCGGAGAAGGGATTGCAATGTAAGATAAACTACGCAGACTGGTCTCCTGGTCTGGGCAGTCTGGGGCGAGGTGGCGAGGTCCCTATGCCAACAGTATGCAGCGGCGGCCTGCTGGCCATCTGGCAACTTGACAGGCAAGAAGTCGAACAGTGCCTGTGGCAGCGCTGCTTCTGTACTACTTAGCATGACGGACTCCAAGATCCTCCACAATCATGAACGTGGAATAGGCATTTGAAAAAACCCGCTTTTGTCCAGCTTCATTCCTGTAGCAATTGCTGCAAAAAACGTGCCGTGTGCTTCACTCCTTGTCCGAGGATGGCGCGTTGAGCGGTATCCCGAACATGAACTGTGTATGGTCAACATATATTATCAACACTGAACACAGATCGCTGTGGCGGTTAATCCTGAACTGAAGCTGCTGTCGTCTAATGGCGCGGGAGCCGGCTCTGTTGCAGAGCCCGAAGATCAAGTTACAATGGTGAAATAAAGTTGGCCTCGACCGTAGTGGACGTGTGATTCTCACACGAACATCTGGGACTGGAGCTACTCTCCGTAATGATGAAAAATGCGAAGCCGGGGCATGCAGCTAAGAATCTACGATCAAAATTACCACACTGAAGATTGAACTAGGTAATAGCGTAAGCTGTGGAGTTGTCGTTGTTGGATTCGGCTCCTCTTGCTTGGTTTGCGTGCCTGCAAGCACGAACCTAACAAGCAGGGTATGACAAGAAACGCTTTGTTCCTGCCACCGCTGCCTTTTGTGCTGTCGGTCGCTCGCGGCTGGCGGGCATGCTTCAGTATTCCACTCGAACTCTACGTAGTGATAGTAGTAGTAGCAACAGCAACACTTTGCGTCAGGAATGGGACAAAATTGGTTGTGATTCTGTGATGTTGCGTGGAATACATTCGCACATTGCAGCTGCAGCAACTCTTTGCATCCAGCGAACCCATCTCTGCGCAGCTTTACTCTGTGAGCGGGGTAAGTGGCTCCGATGCATCTTGCTTCTGGCTATTCTCCATGGTCTTCGTGCGGTTACAAAAACATGAGGAAAAGGGTTCGCAACAAGCCTGATTCCAGCTGTCGTTTTCAACAACATCAGTTCTGCGCGCATGCTTCACATGGCTGCCAATTGAAACACAGAAACAACAAATACAAGCAATGAATAACGAACCAAAATTTACGACAGAATACGCAGCGCACCGAGGCCATGCGCCTGGAGAGCATCCCTTGAGCTCCAGGCACTTTGGCACACAGCTTCTGTGCATACCATGTGGTTGGAAAGCATGCCTGACCCTGTGGCGGCCTGTTAGGCCACGATGCATGTGAAACTAAAACCTGTCAGCCAGCTGAAATTGCAGCAGCTGCGCCAGCAGATGCATGAGGTGTTGTGACCCGATCTGACGCTTCTTCCACCTGAATGCTGCTGGAACGGCCCTTGCAAACAAAACTTTCCATGCGCGTGCCGTCAGCCATACTAAGCAAATGGCATTGATAGCAGTCGGGCCAGACTGCTGACGCTTCATCTTGGGCTGCTTCCTGATCAAGGTGGGAATTCTTTGGCTGTCCTGCCCCCCCCCCCCCCCCCGCCGCCCTGCCCCGCCCCGTTCCGGCAGCGAAACTGCTTCTTGCAACGCTGGACAGGCCCGGTTGACAGCCAGCAAAACGATTGCATGCCCAAGAACGTCAAGTGGTGGGCTGCAATTTCGAAGAACTTCGTCTTCTCTAGCTTGTATAGCTCACCTTGTGAAGCACCCACGGGCTGAGCAGGTTTGAAAAGCAGTCCAGCAGCATCTCGTAGCCACATGCTGTTGGTTGCACTGCACGTGTGCTGACGCTCGCTTGCAACGTGTGCGATCTAGTGGCAGGTGCTCGTGGTCACAACGGTGGTGGGTGATCGATAAGGCTCCTGATCAGCGGCAGGATGCGGCAGGCTTCGGAAATGACGAAATTCCGGTTGGTCCTGTGTGAGAAGGCATTCTCCGTTAATCACAGGCGGATCTCCATCCACAACGCACTTGTGTCCTCGGCATGCAACGTACATCGGAAATTACTACCTCAATCTCAATTGCACTTCACGGCTGGTCCGATTGGGGTCTCGACCCATTACATCCTCAACTTTGATAGTCCTGAGTTTCACGGCTGCTTTGCGGAGCAAGGTTCATCAGCGACGCTAAAAGTCTGAGGAATGCCAAATCGTGCAAGTGTCCCAGAGCAAACGACCCAGGCGCAGTGTGTGACCTGGGGTCAGGGTTGGAGCGTATTAGGCGGCAATGTGCTGGACAACGGCAGTGATGGAGGAGCTTCGCTCGATCTGAGGCTGATTGAGGCTGCTTCATCTCCAGCGCAAACCAGATGTTCGCCCGGCAAAATGTCAAGGAATTCTGCACCTCGGCCATGACGAGATGTCAGCTAGCAAACACTACAACAACGCATGCTCTCTCACTGTCTGCCGTGTGGCTTTTGCAAACTTGTTTGAGCGCGTCTTTGGACAAGCCTTGCATACCTCGGCTCCCCGAATTCAAGGAGCTCTCTTCTTTCCGAGCGTTTGCGCTGGCATGGGGAGCAAGGCGAGGATGGATGCGATCCGGGTGCATGGAAGATGGTGCACCTGCTGGAGCACCTTTGCATTCTCCACCTCCTCCTTGAGAGCTGTAGGGAGCTCTTTGAGTAAGTTCGCCTGGTGCAAGTTGCAACTCTGTCGCAATTCGATGGCAGGCGCAGTCTCAGTCTCAGCACACGTACGGCCTCCTTGGCCATGATCCGCCGGCGGGTGAACTTGTGGTAGAGGTACTCCTCAACCAACAGACTTGTACAAGTCTTCGCAGAAGGGCTGACGGCATGCTGTTGGTCACCCACGGTGGCTACTGAACCTCCCTGCAGATTCAAGGCTTCACATATTCAGACCGATAGCAGTACATGCCCAAGTGTCCTTGATCTTCCGCTGTGATGTCTCCTCTACACGAAGTTTGTGGAGGTGCATGCGGATTGCGAACATCTCATCATTAAAGCTCCGGCCACGCTCACCTCACAGTTGGCGTGAGTGCAGCTGGGCAATGCGCAAGCGACTGAGAACTTGCTTAGGCATCCATTCCGAGAAGCTGATTTTGAAGTAGGCTTGCGTCAGGGAGGCAACGGATACGGCAAAAGCTGATAATGCAAAGAACATGAAGCAGAGGACGAAGACACCTCAAGATCATGGGCATTACGCGATGCAATTCAGTTCAAGGTACGATGACTCGGAACGACAACCTGGCACGAGCTGCCCTTATCTTTAGACTCGAAGGGAGCGATGAGTCCAAAGCAGGCAAGCTGCGCTCGACGGCGTTGACTGGAGTCACTTCGGCTGGCATAGTTCGCATGACCCCAAGAGTCCAGTAGAAGCAGAAGATGTATTGCTCAAACCTCAGACGGAAGGCATGAGAATCTGGAATTTCCCATATGCTTATCTTGCATGAGCAGAACTGTTCGTATTCATATGCTATCTGATCTTTTTTTATGCTATGTTCTGCCAAAATGTAACATTATGCTATACTATACTATACTATACTATACCATATCACACCGTACAATCTTAGAATGTATGATATTATTTCCTTTAAAACATCATACAAACAAGGCTAACAATGGCAGTATTGTAATTGTGGAGATGATAACGGTAACCAATATTAAAAGCAAGAAAACTATTAAACAATAATGACAGGAATGATACAATAACAGGCATGATGATAATACTGATAACAATAACAAACAATCCAACAATAACACTGCATATATCAACAACAATGATGGCAATAAACATAATGACAAAGCTTATGATAAGCATAACAATACGGAGTATGTATGTATGTATGTATGTATGTATGTATGTATGTATGTATGTGTATATATATAATATTTTTGTATAGATATGCATGTATGTTTGTGTGTATATGTATGTATGTATGTATGTATGTATGTATGTATGTATGCATGCATGCATGCATGCATGTATGTATGTATGTATGTAAGTGTGTGTGTATGTATGTATGTATGTATGTATGTATGTATGTGTGTGTGCATGTATGCATGTATGCATGTATGCATGTATGTGTATGTGTATATATACGCATATATACATACATATATGCTACATATTGCGAATTGCCGTCCCACGCGGGGCCCGGGCATTGGCTTTCTTTCATAGGTCCATGGGTCCAGATCTGGGGCATCGCTCCTGTTGGGGCTCAGTGCATGCCCCTAGACGCTGCATGGTAAGCATGCTGCCAGCAAATCCTGGAGATGGTCGTCCAATGTGGCATGCGATCGAACTGATCTTTCAGAGTCCTCCCACAACTTACAACTGTCATTCTCCGCACATCGCAGCGAGGCATGAAGATGGCAACATTGGAAAGCTCAGCTCCCGGCGTAGGCATGAAGTCCGTGACGATGCTCTCTCTTGCCCCGACAATCCAGAAGAGACACGCATTCCAATGGCAAATGCCAACGACTACCAGCAACACGCGGATGAGCATCATCCCCTGCACGATGGCAACTGAACCGATTCGCTTCTCCACCTGTTCCCAAATGTCTTTCAGCTTCTTCGCGCGAAGCATCTTCATCAAGCGGATTATGCGAATAAATTTCAACCTCAGAATTTTTAGAGACGAACACAATCCAAGCGTCCAAAAAACGAACATCTGGCACGACCTCCGAACCATGCCTGACACGCACAGCTTCCTGTCCAAGACACACTTTGGCAAGTTTTGCCACGGTGACCATGGGCCCACCGCCAGGTCCCACCATGGTGTCGACCTAGGCTGATGGACAAGCAAGCTGCGTCGAACGGCCGGGTTGCAATGTATCTACCAAGCGCGAACTTCTTGGTGCGGGTCGGGCAGCTATGCGGCTCCAGGGTACCGTGCTGATGAAATCAAGCACAAACCACCCCCTGAGGTATGTAATGGCAATAACCCGGCGCTCGACAATGAGAGTCTCCTTGCAGGGCACATCGCTGCTAAAACTCCTCTCTGCGAGCCCGGCACTGCCTTGGCGTCATCAACATCAACATCGTCGCCACGAGGGATGGCCGTGTTAAAGCTTGCGATGATATCCTTGGTTATGCTGTATGTGGACGGAGTCACCTACCTGTTTGGCATGCAGGTCGCAACTGCAGAAGGGTAGCCGCACTGAAGGTCATCGTTGTGAGCCAAAACCAAAAGTCATCAAACCCATCTGGGTCATAGCCTTGCATTGGTCGAAAGCTTTCAAGGGTTGCGCCGCCTGTCTGCTTGAGTCACGTGAGCTGTCGGACCGTGGCGGCCATCTAGACCCTAGACTCCCTAGACCACGCCTGGATTTTGAGAGTCTATAGAGTTTAGACTCTCAAAACTCGGACAATCCAGGCGTGGCTTGGGCGTGACCACAACTCGAACTGTTTTGGTGACCATTACACTGAACATTGACCTTGCATGGGGAGTTGAAGCCCGTGTATATGCCCTAAAGTCTTGGACTTTTGGATATAATTTCAACTCGTCATATCCTAAAGTCGTCTATGAGTCTATAACCTCAAACAGAACAGGATCTGGCACTGTCCATGCGTGCATGGCCCAACTACGCAAGACATGAGCACAAAACAACACAAAGAGAGAGAGAGAGAGAGAGAGCGAGCGAGAAAGAGAGAGACAGAGAGTGGGAGAAGAACAAGGATACGCATATGTACGCATGCATATACATATTCTTTAACACATAGTTAATATATGTATATATATATATGTATATGTATATATATATATATAATTATTATTACTATTATTATTATTACATCGCGAGGACGAAAGTTTTGATCTACTGGACCTTTCTTGTCTTAA